ATGATATTTTTTTGTTATAATTTTTAATAAAGGATTAATTACCGGGATAACAAAAATAATAATGTTGTAATATATAAATTATCATGACATTATTTATTTATTAAATAAAACTTAATTTACTAACCCCGAAGGCTAACTCGAATGCTTAACTCGAATTCTAATTCAAACTTTAACTCGAACACTCTTCAAGTCATAATCATCCTGACTCGATATGACTCGAGTCAACTCATTTTAATTCGAGTCCTACCTCTAGTGTTCATCTTTAGTTATAATAGTTAGTTTTTTGTGTTAGCTAATAATATTTATATTTAAATTGACATGCTTAATTAATATTTTTATAAAAAAGCTTACAGATTAACATTAAAAATATATATGGGTGTGTTTCTAGCAAAATCAAGGTATAGATCATATGGATCATATGATTTACTATATCTCATAACTTGATTTTACTAAAAATGTTCCCATATTTATTTATTTATTAATAATATAGTTTTAAAGAGTACTTATTTTTATAGTAATAATTAGAGCTTGGGTCGGGTTGGATCACAGGTTGATTCAAAGCTCTAGTAATAATAATTTATGCTTATTTTTAAATAGTTAAAAAATATACTAACTAAATATATTAAATTAAAAGAATTTGAGATTATTTATTAAGTTTTAAAATATTTTTAATAATTATAATTTAAAATTAATTCATAATAAAATAATAATCATAATATTTATAAATATTATTATATTGATTAATAATACTTTAATGAATATAAAAAGTACCATTTTTAATTCATATTTAACTATTATTTTTTAAATTTAATTATTAAATATTCAATTATGTATTAAAATATGATTATTGTTTATACCAATTATAGTAATCAAAAATTACATGATTTATATATAGAAAATTCGATATAATATGGCAATTAATAATAATATTACTTATTTTATACATAAAAAAAAGGTCAGGAATTAAATAATTTTGGTACCTTTTTACAAATTGTCATTATATGCAGTAATTTTATAAACTTTGATAAGCTTATTTTTAAAAAATTTCCGTATCATATTTGCATTCATCTAATTTAACATATTAGGCAATTACATTACGTAATTGCACCTTTTTTCTGGTTTAATAAGTATTTAAGATTCCCCGATTATTTTTTTTTTTTATTTTTTATTTTTATTTTTATTTTTGTTTAATTGGTAATTGGCTATTTCGTTTATCGAACTAATATGTGTTAATTTGGCCCGTAGCTTATTTTATGAGAACTTGAAATTAGCATTCAGCTAGGAAGAATTTTCATAAAAAAAGCATGTCCTGCCCAATATATACATTTATAATAATGTAAAGCATTTACAACTTAATCATACTTAATCACTTTATTTAAAGTTTTTTTTTTTAACATAAGAATTCATATAAACTTATATTCCCTAATTCATGATTATAAAAAAAATATTAAGGCAATCTGTAATAAATAACTTAATATGGCATATAGTTGACACATATTCGTGGCAGATTATCGGTTCAAGGGTTTGGTTCCGATGAACCTGTAAACTTTATAGGAAGTTTGGTGTTCATTAACTTCTTCTTCGAGCTTACTTAATATATCAGTATATTCATCTTCTTCGATTTTCATAACAAGGCAAAGCTTATATTTTACTGCTTGAAACAACATAAGAAAATCGTCAATGGCCTAACAATCAAAATGGAGATGAGGAATTGAATAACAATTTCTCACAAAAAAAAAAAAAAAAAAAAAAAATTTAAAATTGTGAATAGTTACAAACTTGCCAAATCTTCCATCCCAAGAACCGTATTTAGCTGACTGATTGATAACATTGATATTTATAAAATTGGCTTCTTGTAGAAATCCTGGAATGAGTGGACAAACAAATATGTTTACATTTTCTCCTTTAAAATATTGAGCAACTTTTATTTAAAATTAAGAAAAAAAATTTTTTTTTATTATAATGTAATAATTTTTTTGAAAAAGAAATAAAAAAATAAGACGAAACATATACTTACATCCGTTCACCAAACACGTCATATTAGGACCTGAATTAACAATATTGAAATCAAATTCATGCGATTCAATATACCCGCCCGGTTTTAGAATCCTAAATAATTCTGGAAACACAGTTTCCTTCCAATCATTTTCACGTAAAGCTACAAACATTAATCTAATGTGTATAAAATCAAAAGTATCATCATCATAAGGTAAACGATATGTAACGTCTAGCTTTTGAAATGTTGCGTTGAAGGGCTTTATCTCTGAAGGAAATATTGGTGCAATGTCAATTCCTATAAATCGGGATTGAGGGTACTCGGTAGCCATCTCGAGAATCCATGTACCCGGCCCGCAGCTAAATTTTTGAAAGGTTCAAGTTTTAACAAGTTTTGACACCATTTTTCATGCACGATCCACAAACATACCCAACATCAAGTACATCTGCACCGGATAACAGGATTTCATTAACCGGTGAGGAAAAATTATTTTGCCATACATAACGAAGCAGATAATGCTGTAATTGTAAACGATCAACTAAGAAAAAAAGTAACGTTAATTATCTGCCAACATACTTAAATCAAGAAATTACTCTCACATACTTTCTTCGTCATCGTTCGGCAAAAGGTATCGAAATGTATTGTCACCAACATATCTTCTTCCGTTTTCAAATCTAAACGTTTCAGAACTTGAGCTCGCAAGGGTCGCAAGGGTTGTTATAGTATTATCTGATGAAATAGAAGGAGAAGGGGATGATAAATTTTTCGAAGAATTTGAATTTTTGAATTTTATCGAGACTTTAGAAAATTTCGAACCCATTTTGATTTTTTTATGATAATTAAACGACAAAGTTGATGTTTGACAAATATAGGTAGACAAGAGAATGAAATAAGGTTGGATTAAAATAACGAAAGGGAATTTTCATATAACATGAAAAGAAATTATTGATTAAAAAGGGTTAATATTATACGAAAAAAAAATGATCGATGAAGGAAAAATAATTTTTTTTACAAAAAGGAGGGAGATATTGGAATTATTGACGGTTTCGTATGTGTAAACAATAAACTTCCAATTGTATTAGGTAATCTTAAATGACATTTTTAAAACAATTTCTCTAATCAAACAGCAAAGCCACAAAAAGTTATTATTCCGTACATTTTACAGGACTCAAGCAAGCAGTATTTTGTTACGGAACAATATTTTACTTTTATGGTAATTGGCTGAATTCCGGAAAATTTTGAAAATTAACCATTTAAAACCAGAAAAGCCTATAAACAACTTTAACAACAATGCTTTCCTCTATATTGTTTTTTAATAACATTTCACGTCCTTAACCATAAAAGTAATGGTGTGTTAAAAAAGAGATTTTGAAATATTGATAAAAGGCAAATCTCGAATTACGAGCAATTTCCAAATATACGTTAAATTATTTGCTAATCCGTCAATCCGGCAAATCAACAAATGGAAAAAAAAATTTTTTTTTCCATAAATGTGTCTTGGCTTGTGGCTATCATCTTATCTAAATTATCTTGAATATTTTTGTTTGCAATAGAATCTTCCCAACTTCTAATAATATTCCGTGCAATGCATTTATAGGTTTAAAAATTGACACGAGAAAAGGGTCTCTGTCTACTATGAAAAACCCTGGCTAAAATCAAGCATTGAAGTTTGTTACATTCATCACAATCTTCTTTGAATTAATTCTGTAAATCTAAAATTCTTCACATTTATGAAGATTATTACCAAGTTTTATTATTTAAGAACATTCTCAAAAAAAAAAAAAAAAAAGAAATCTAAATGAGAAACTAACGAATCTATTCGACATTTATATCTAACAGAGTCATATTTCGTGATCTTAATTTAAGATAAGAATTTATTGATATAGCTTGATCAAATAATAACAAATACTATTTTTGGAAAATTCATAAATAAAAAAATTTTTCCGATAATATATGTTCGGGAAAATACAAATATTAAATTTTGTAAAAATCAAATCAATCATCTGTTCTGTAAATTTAGTATTATTAGTATTATTCTATTACTTTGAAATCAATTGTTATTGATGCGACAAAATATTTATTATTTATTTATATTTTTACTGGTTTTTATCCAATCAGAATCGTTGATCAAAAAAAATATCTTTGTATTTTTATTATTACAAAAGAAATAAAAAATCTGATACCAATCAAATCGCAATTTTCACAAAGATATAAATTTATAATTTCAGAATATTTGTTTTTTATCGCGGTAATGGAAATCTTTACTTTTCAAAGAGAAATCTTACATGCTGAAAAAACCCTCATTTTTTCTGGTTTCAAAGTTTTTCGTTCTCATTTTAGTTGCATATTGATTCGTCCCTTCGATTATATCACACGCAGTCGAAAATTAAGCAGTAAATGTCTTTTTTTTACCAAAGAATGATATGTGCTAATTTTCGGAATGGTATATAATTCTATAATTATAGAATTCTTTGTTTCAAATTAACAACAATTTCTTTATTTAGGTTGCTCTCTAATATTTTAACAAAATTTGTTCTTTGTTTACGTGGTGGTTGTTGTTGCACCACCCCGAAACTTGGCATTTTTTTTATTCACCAAATACATGATCTTCACAACGAAAAATGGATCGGTTGCTCTTAAAATCGAGTCACGAGACAATGTTTTTTTAATAGTTAACCAATGCTGATTAATGAAATAATTGGTCCCAATAAATGATCTGGTTTTTTAAAATTATCTCTCACTCCTTACTTTTAATTAATATTGGTTGTTCATAATGGGGTGATCATATTATTATTATACATCCAAATTAGTATTCGTCTCTTTTTTTAACTTGATACATTTCAAAAATATCTGGAATAAAAAGATCTAGACAAGTTTTTTTTGTTTGTTTGCTTTTTTTAGTTAAATTATGATGTACATTTACGATTAGATCATGGAGAGATGTTCGACCTTTAATTTTAATTCTCTTACTCAGATAATTGGACGTTGTGATATTGGTTGATTAAATATATTTTTACTAAAAATAAATGTAATTTAATTTTAAAAAGTTTTTAAAGGTAAAAGTTCGACACCAATGAAAACGCATGTATTACTAGTTCCCAAAAGTTCAATTGCGCAGCAGCATTCCGAAAATTTTCTTGCCTATCTGATTAACAAATGGTTTATAGTCTTGTTTTAAAAATTTTATATATTTAATATATATTAAAACACACATAACAGAATAAAAATTCTCGATAAGAAATAAAAAGTTCTCAGGAACTTTTTCAATTATGGCATCCATCTTTCCTTTCATACATCACGAATCGAAAGATTCTATATACGTGTATATTAAACTTGTAATAAACATAGTAGGCTTAAAATATCTTTATCATATTGATCATCCAACAAATACCAAATGGATGAAAAATTCTTCGGTGTTAGTGTAATAAACGTTTAGAAGGGATGTAAAAGTGCAATTCTGAATCTCAAAACAAAAAAAAAAATATTGCTTTTAATGGATGTATATTTATCCTATTTTTTTTTTCCTAATAAATAATGCTTTATCTTGGTTCCTAAAGAGGAAACCTCAAAAAAGGGGGAACACGTTTTGGTATGTTTGGATGACGTTCATAAGGAATTTACGTCAGCTCGAATGATAAGTACGATTTTCGTCAAAAAATCGATATGATCAACAGCTTTCTTCTATGTCACGTGATGATCGGTTACACCCAAAGGTGCAGAATTAAAAATAGGAATTGCTAATGTTAACATCAAATTCTTAATTTTATTGATAATAGAACATATATTGCTTATCAATTTTCGGTAAATTACAACCTTGGAAGCAAATCTTTGCTGTTTGAGCGAGCATCTCCGAATGAATGCATTTAGAATGTGATGCATACATGTATTTGGTTCAACATCAATATGCATACCAAGTCTTGAACTAGTTATTTGGATCAAAGATTTGATCCACTTTATTGGTTTACGATTGAGGGGGGGATTTTTTCCTTATCTTTCATGTTGTTTTTGTCAAAGGCAAAACGTATTACGTGATAACTTTTTGCCAGTGTTTAAACTTGGCAGCCGAATAAAATTTTTACGCGGAATGGGTTTATTTATTATTATTTTGTAATTATATCTTAGAATTTGATCATAAAGTAAACGTAAATTCATAGGTAATTGAAGCTAAAGAAACATGAGATTTGTTTTAACAACATTGCTTCTTATTAATTCATAAATAAAGAATCTATTGGTGCATTTATTCGGTAAAAACCGATGAGTGAATGATGGTGCAAATTGGCACCAGTCACTTTTTTTTTAAATTTATAAAAAAAAAAGACTTGCGAATTGTAATTGATGTATGATTCGTTTTAAATTGGTTTTCGTAATTTTCGTAATTCTTATCGTAATTTAATCGAATTTTGATAAACAAAGTGAATTCGGTTCGTTCATGGACCTTTCCTTTTCTTTTTTAACCTGATTTGCCTTGAACATATATTCGTGAACTTTCTCACTGCACTTCTCCAGTACTTCATAGACTTGTCTAACTTCCGCAGAATATCCACTCCATAGGGATGCTAGCATGTTTATTTCTTGATCCGTTTTAGAAGAGGATGTAGTCGTTAATGAATACATGCCCTTAATCGAATTATTTGAATTTGGACGAGAATTATGTTCAATAGGGGAAGAGGATATCTTTTGATGCTGGGATTGTGAAATTTCCTTGTGTATTATATTAATGTAATCTTGTTTAAATAAAGTACGTGCGTTTGAATGTTGATGGTAAACAAAAGGCGATTTACATTTATGAGATGGAATTAAAAGAGCATGCAACGGTTGATTGATGGTATCCTCAATAAATTCACGTGTAATGTTTGTATTTGAAGAGTCGATTACTTTGTTTATTATAAGGTCAAGGTCGTTGGAATTGGGTATAGGGTGGACAATGTTGCAGTCTGGTTCATGTAAGTACATATCATCATTCCTCGTCGAGGAAGTGTCGTCGCTCATTGTATGATAATATAAGAGTGGAATATTACACAAGAAACATCAAATCTTTTGGAGTTTCTATTTTCTTTATTATTTATTGTCTTTACTTTTTATTTTTATTTTTATTTTTTTTATTATGATTATAAGTTATTTAAATGAAAAATGACAAAATGTATTAGAGACGAGAAACAAATTTTTTTTTAATTTACTTTGCTCTTTTTTTTATAGATAACGGATTAATTGTCATACTTACAAGGGTATTATTATCAATCAATCGATAGTACGGGATAACCGAATGGAATTTTTCTTGTTTTTTTCGTTTTTTTTTTTTTTTTTATTATTATTCTTTTTTAAAAAAAAAGAAATACAATAAAAAAAATTTTTTAAAATAAGAAAAAATTTTGTTCTTTAAGCATGTTTTGTACATGATATCATCAAACATGAATGTGCTAACCATTAATTATGAAATAGTCGTTTATAAGTCGATTATATGTAAACTAAAAAAATAAAATTAAATAAATAAATAGCATTTCTATTAGTTTAAAAAAATTTGAACTCGACGATTAAGAGATATTAACAGATAGTAAATGTTTATTGTTTTACAAGATCCCCTAAAAAAAAAAAAAAATAATTTTTTTATCCCATGTTCAATTAGGTTAGAATATCATTACATTCGGAAGACCGTTTAATTGGAACTATCAAGGGGTAATACAAGGTGGATAGGAAATAGTTTTCTTCTTGCATTCAAATCTAATTATCCATCTACAGAATAATAAAGTGTTATTTAATCCTTCTCCTGCTTTAAAAATGAACCATAAGAATGAATGCGTAAATAACCGAAAGTAAAACAAACAAAGAATATAATGACATTTTCATGCTAACCAAGATACTGAATATTTTATTCAACTAATGATTGTACCTCATTAGGGAATAGCTAGAAATACGTTGTCATGTTATCACTATGGCGGTTGTCAGGCGCTCATATCAATTGCAAATTTAAAAAATTTTAGGCAATAGTTGGCGTAACTTGTGAGATTGTGGTGGTATATATATTTAAAGTTTGTTACTCGAAATCAGGAAATCAACTTGTTAATTCCAAGCAGGTCATCTATCAGAGAAGATATGAGCGAAGGAATTCTTTAAATGTTGTCTCTATACATAATTAAATAACTTCATGCATGTCCTTGGAGGATACTTCTTACATGATTTATCGCTTCCATGTATGGCAACTTATTTTCCTTGATAAATTCGGAGCATAGTATACAACGGCGTTCGCGTTCAACGATGAACAACCTGATTATCTGCCGCGTTATCTTTTCTTTACATCATGGTATTTCACACTTTGATGCTTTTCTATCACCCTCTCCTTATCACTAACTCGCCCTTCACTTCACATCCCATGCATCATTTACCATTAACCTGAGGCAGGTATTGCAGTTCTCATGTGCTCTGTTTGGCGAGTGAATTTTGTTGTGGTGCTTTAATGGCAACAATTTACCCTTCACCTTATTCCCTTGTTCATTCCCCCAAAAGCTTAGCTTTATCAGTTTCACAATCTCTCTTTTTCATCTCTTTTAGGAATAGTCATCACTAATCTCATTTCTGGTCATTCCCCAACATCTTTCGCTAATATATTTTGTCTTCAGCCATCATTCCCATTTCTGTCACCTTTCTCCTTTTTCTCACATTTCTTTGGAAAAAAATTGCTCAAGTTTCATTTTTTCCATTTCATTTTATTCTTTCCTCCTGTTTCTTTTCTCAGCAACCCTGCCCTTTTCATCAAAACATCCAAAACATTCTGAGTTTGCTGTGATATATATCATAATATCACATGAGACTGGCATGATAAATGGAATTAATCTAAACTATTCCACGAAGGTGAAAGTTTGAAATAAATTACTTATTATGTGATAAAATTAATTAAATAAATAAATACATTGTATTCGATTTGCTATATTTGTATGAACGTCAAGATTTTTTTTGTTAATAAAAGGTTGGCATCGCATCAAACAACTTGTTGACTTTTGCGCCATGTGCGACACAACCTTTCGTCATTAATTTTTCTCAAAGGATTCATCTGTGGAACTCCATTACAAGCGAACAAACCTTACACTCTATACGATTCGCAGGTTTACTTTAATGCTCGAATTCGTGAAACTTGCCGCATAAATTCTTTTTGTTTATGTAAAAAAAATCTTTGTGTGGTACGCATATTTCAAAAGCAATTGAATTTGAATTCTAGATATCATAGAAAAAGTTCCATATTGAAAAAGTGTTGTTGGATAAATAAAAAAAAAAAAATTTTTTTTCCCTTCTTTTTATTTGAAATCTATCTCAACCACTAAAAAAAAAAAAGGCTTTTCAAATGAAATCTCCGAAAATGTTGAAATTCCAAATTTTTATTATTATTCAATTACATTTATATAGGTTCATTCATTAATTTGAAAAGTTGACATGAAACCAATCAAAAAAATCATTTGTCAATATTTATTCGGATATAGATTGTCACTCTCACTTGTTTTTCATCGCAAGATTTTTTTGATTCTTTTATCATTGGTCGATGATAAGTTCATATAAGAGAAATATGTAGGCAGCTAAGTTTGGGTTATCTTTTTTTTTTTTTGATATTTGTTGTTATTATGTCATAATCATCAATTGTGGTCATGTAATTAAGATTATCCCATAGAAGTTAAACACTATGCTTCATTGTAAGTCTCATTACATTACTCCAAGCAACTATATGCATCTATCCTATAATATTAAAAGAAAATCAGAGAAAACATTCTCGGCTCATATTTTTTTTTTTTTTGCTTCCTGACATTCATTTTATTTTTTATTTTTATTATTTTTTAAATTTTTTAAATTTTTTTTTTATTGTTCAAAAAATAAAGAATCTTACAGGTAAAATCTTGTAAGGATTTCCATTATCTCGTGCCTCTCATTTATCCAGGTTTCTTTTTTTTTTTTTTTTTTTTTTTTTTTTTTTTTAGGGGGAAATATTGAATGGGAAAAACAAAATTTTTTTTTTTGTTATGCCCAATGAAAGAACCCAAATTTGGAAGTTATTTGAATGAGGCTGATTATGGTTAACCGCGTGCGCGATGACAAAATTGATTCACGTGAACCATCCAAAATGAAACGTGTGAACCTTTTTGCAAAAAGGTTCATTGAAATTTGAATTTCAATTCATTCGATTTGTAAAGTTTGGTTCCCGGGAAAAGCATAGAGTCGAAATCAATTTGCAACTCTGATCAGAATGATGTCAATTAGTGACCACATTTTCATGACCAAATTGGGTACCCTTGATTGTTTTTTTTAAGGACAATGTAAGGGACCATCATTACAGATCGCAATGCTTAAAATAAAATTTAATAATAATAATAATAATAATAACAATTAAATGAATGAAGAATTGATGTTTAAAATTTCCCGATTGCTCATTCACATTGGTCTTTACGATCATATTTACGAGTTTTTTTGCGTTCCATCTGATTAATAATCTCGGATAAAGTTAATCTTTGCCATGTCTTTTTTTTTTTGTTTGTTATTTTATTATCATATTTTGCCCGATGAAAAGCAAATGATTTTTACCAAAAGTAGATTGGTATTTTACCAAGTTTGAAGAGGGAGAAATGTATCGTGTATTTTCATATTTGTATTATTGTGTTTGAAATAAGGATAAAACGATTTTCCGATGTTACGTTACGCATAATTTTTCGATTTTGTACTAAATTAATTAATGATTCATTGTGAACCAAACTCGAGAAATGTTATCTTTTTTTTTATGATTTCTCCCAAAAGAATAAAACAAACCGCCGATAAGGACGCTCTCCCCGAAGTTTACATGGGTACCACGTTCCAAAGCATGAATGAAATTGTACTGATCCATGAGAATCTTTTCCATAAAAAGACTGTTTTTAATTTTAACTTTCCCAAAAAACAAAAAAAAAAAGATTGAATGAATGAATGAGTATAAATTTATTAACTATCTTGCTCCGTAACAGGTATTTATTTAATTATTATTTTTTTAAATTGCTACGAGACAGAGAGAAAATAAGGGGTTAGAGGATATTTTACGCTCGAGTTTAGATACGGTAAATAAGCTGATTATAGTTTAATGACGACATTTACCTTTATTTTTCACAATACCTCCACAAGTGCACGAGTTTGAAAATTTCCGAGTTAAAAATCATGTCAAAATTAGTCTCATTCATATTGCATGAACATGTTGGTGTCACGGTAACTCACGCCTTTCGTACTCGGAAAATCAGTCGATTAATTTTAGATCCATTATCAAAAGAAAAACTGGTTCTCGATTACCTATAATAAAATTACTATATAAAATTTCATTATTCCATTTAAATGCTATCAATTGCCACAAAAAATAATCACATCTTCATTACACAATTAGTTAAATAAAAAAAAAACAACAATTTGGTGACACATTGTCGACTTTTTAAACAACGCGTTTTAGGATAAGCCTGTAGTAAATCTGTTATTTTGTTTATTTTGTTATACTTAACAAGGTACCCATCCTAATACGATTGTGAAAATTGGCGTTTGTATTTTCTTTAAACATCTCTCAACCGGTTTTTTTGACATTTTACATTCCATGTTGGGGTAAAAAATATTTGCTAATGTGATAACAGTCAATAAAAAAAACGGGTAAGATACTTGTTATAATGGTTCAACGGAATAATGGTGGTGAAACAATATATTACGCCAAAAGGATTCTAGTCATAAAATAATAATAAACAGAATCTGTGGTGTCAAATTAGACCCGAAAACATCATTCAAAAGGATTGTTGATGCAATGTTTCTCTCCGACAAAACATTCACGAAAATACACAACTAATCATCTTTGTACACAACATGAATAACATTTGATTAATAGATATTATGGTAAGCGTAAATTATTGTAAACAATAGATTAGGTTTCGGATAATTATTCCGTTTGTTAATGATTTTTACGCGATATTTGAAACTTTAAAACAAATATATAAAGTAAAAGGGTAAATATTTATTTGCATATTATGTAAAGACTGGGGGAAAATATGTAAAATTAAGATGAAAAGTCTTTTTTTTTTTTTTTATGGCGTGTATTATGATCATAGTATTACTACGGATCTTGATTTTTAAAAAATGGTATCTGGATTAGTTGCCGGTGAACATGACCATATATTTACTATTTTAAAATTTCCATCCCACGTATAACACCAAAATGTACTGCGCCATGCAAATCAGCCCAAAGGTAGATCACGTATCCAGGGGTAAGTCATATGATTGGCATCGTGGAAGTTCACTGAGAAAAAAAAGAATTTCGGATTCTCGTGTCACGTATGGGGGTTGCAATCTTTTTATATTCTTGTTTTCTTGGAACAATTTTTTTTTTTCCTAATCTTCCCTCAAATGAGAAAAACTAGTATTTGTTTCGTATCACAACACTAGTCACAAAAATTTCAAGCAGATGAACGTGATTTTTAGAACTTTATTTACCCTTGTGCATGGGTCATATGCATCATGTAAGGGTTTTCAGTTTCTTTGAACTTCCAAAAAAGGAGAACAAGATGAACCAATTTTTGTTTGAAATTTTCAAATAAAAAAAAAAAAATAAAAGTACTTTTGGTGCTTGTTACATTTATTTGGTCGTCTTTGATGCCGTGTAAAATGTGTAAAATATAACTTCATATTTATTTACGTTTTACAAAATTTCACCTAAATATTTCTTTCATATAAGTTTATCATATGTATCTAAGATTTCCACAATCTAAGATTACCAACTCTTTTTTTTTAAATGTTTTAAACATTCAAAGATCAAACCAACTCTAATATTATCACGTGATCAACCTTCTTGGTTTCATGATGAAATTCGTCTTTGTTTCTTCAACAAAGAGCAATTTTGCTTATACCTACTTCTTTGGTTTAACTTAGAAAAGTTCCGACCAAAAGGAGGTCAAATCGATTACTCGTGTTGTCGGCTATATCCTTTTGTTTCCTAATGTTTTGTGGCGGCACATTATTTTTATTTATTATTTACTCTATTTTATTTTATTTTATTTTTTTTTTTTTTAAAAAAAAAAAAGAATTAAAGGTTTGTAGTCATATCACCTACCAAACCTGCCCCTTTACAAAAAGATTCATTTTTCATTCGTTCTTCAAAAAATTGATATCATGTAATGTGTTGTAAAAAAAAATGTTCCAATTTTGGTGCATAAAGAGTTAAAATCCTTTCAAATTTTGCACAAAATTGTACAGCTCAAAGTGCATGAGGTATTTATTGTTTGTGTAATCATCCTTCGACTTTCTGGTGACGCGTCTTCACTAAGAAGGAATAAATTCGGTCGTGAAACCTTTTGCAAAGCAAAAACTTTCAAGCTTTGCGAGCAATATTTGCTAAATCCGTTAAAGCAATAGGGTTTTCGAACTTTCCTTATTTGATTGATGTAATTTACTCGACATGAGGGACTTTTCAAAAAAAAAAAAAAATAAAAAAGAGAAACTTTGTCCAGGTATTCCAAATATTTTTATTAAATAAAATTATATCGCACAAAAAAAAAAAACTACCAAAAAAAATGGAAGAAAAAAAAAGAAAAAATTAATTAGAAAAATTATAAACAAAAAAAAAAAAGAAAGAAAAACAGATATTCATAGGATAGGTTTCATTTCATTTATGTGAATAAAATTTCGCATGGAATAGTTGGAACAATGAAAGGTTTATTAATGCATCCAATCAGAAAGGTACGAATAATTAATTAACTGCATGATTTTCAAACTTTTTTAGTATAATATAAAAGCAGTATACATTACATTAAATCTCCTGAAAATCCCTTTTTATTTTGGCCATAATAGTCGGGAGTATGATGATGATAGAAATAAATAAGGTGTTGTAAAATACTGGAGTACTTACTTTTACCATAATTAAGTTGTTTTTTTTTTATAAGCCTGAATGTTAAAATCTATCCAATGTATATAATATATACAATAATGTATATTTATTTATGATATTTGAATGATATAATTAGCAATACTATATTATATCATCGATCAACAATTTATTCCAAATTTTAATAAATACATCTATATAAATGTGCTCAAAAATTGATCCAAATATTTTTTTTTTTGTAAAAAAAAAAAAGTCATTATCCTATCATACACATTTTGTTTTTTTTTTATTTATTTTTTTTTTTTAAAAAAAAAAAGATTTATAACAACATGGGAACGCAACAGTCGAAAAGGTTGAACACAAAACAAAAGACCTTTGCAAATAAAAGTGAACTAAAACAAAACATAATTACACCAGAGACAATAATTAAAGTAGATGTCAAATACGACTCAAAAACCATCGACAGAATTCATTCCCATCATTACTTGCTGAAGCATATATGGAAAAATAATTTTAGTTCACCGATTCGTTCCTTGTTGGAATCGGGGATTATTGACGCTCTTGAGATTAAATGCGGTCCTGGAACTTGGATTTTGGATATGGCCACCGAATTTCCACGAAGTTCGTTTACGGGAATTGATGCCGTACAAATCTTTCCTTCGGAAATAAAACCAAAGAATGCCAAATTCGTCCTCGCGGATCAACCAGAACACTTGCCATTTTCTTCCTCAACATTCTCTTATGTACATATAAATCTCATCGAACATATGTACTCGGAACATTTATTTTGGCAAAGTGATATAATAAATGATATTATTAATATCATGAAGAGTGATTCATGGCTGGAAATCACTACTTGGAACTTGGAATTCGAAAACGTTGGAAATGTAACTCAAAAGTTGGTTTCAGCACGTAAGCGTTTATTAATAATTTTGCCTTGTTATATTTGTTTTTTATCTACATGGAAGATTCTGAGAATTTTAAATCTTTTTTTTTTTTTTACGCTCTTCTCCTCTAGTGATATCGTGCTTTGAAAACCATGTGCCATTATCTAAATCTATTTCATTATTGCCCTCGCATTGCGAACGATTAAAAAATATGAATATTCTCCAAAATGATATACCCGTAGGCAAATGGGCTGGTCTTATTGGTGAACTTGTATGTAATATTTTCAAGATTTGTTTATGCAAACTTTGTGTCCAATTAGGAACTTAGCCTTTTTTTATTCCCTTTCTTTCTTAGGTAATGGACGATTTGTTGACTACTTTTAAAAGTCACAACGACAAAATTTGTAACATATTAAATATCACCCCTGAGCAGTACAACCTATACCTGGAAGACGTTGTTAAGGAAATCGAAGAGAATCACACGGTCTTTAAAACTTATAGATTCTATGGTCAAAAGCCATAAAATTTTGTTTATTTTTTATAATTTATTTAGAGATATTCCACTTTAAATTAATGTTAATAATATATATATATATATATATGCGTAAGTATGAATTTCATGTATTTACTCTCATTCATATCTTGCTCCGAAACCCATTTATGTAGTATATAAACCTTTAAATTTTCCTCTTTGTGATTTTATCTATCGTGTAAAAAAAAAAAAAATTATAAATATATTCATAATATAATATGTATAAACTACAAAGATATTTTGTTTTAAAAAGAAAAAAAATAATAAATAAATAAAGTGTTAAAAATTATTTCTGTTTCAAAAACACGTAAAAGTTTCTCAATAACGCGATCGAAAGATGATGAACAAAAGGAAATTCATCAAAAAATAATTTGGATCATCCAATTTTTAAGCATAAATGTCAAAAAAAATAATTTAAAGACAGGCCCTTTAATCTAACGTAATCAAGGTAATAATATCACAGGGATAATCAAACCACACCCGGTATGATAATTCTGTTTTTAATACATTATATGGGAATTAATTGGTTATTAAAATAGATGATTTGATTGTAATCCCAGATCGTCAAAGGTTTCGTGTCATTCATTATTAATATATAATTTGTTTTTTCAACTTATCCCTTAAACGGCGGTGCTAATTAAATGCGTAACGGTTTTCTATTTATATGAAGAAACAATGAATTTAAAATTTTGATTACACAAATAAAAAAAAATAGGGTTTTATTTATCAACTTGATACTTATTTGTTTGAATCAATATTCAATAAATGAATGCTCATTCCATACAAAGACCTTTCTTTGGAATTCGACATCAGATTTGTATTGGTTTATTTTACCAGTTTTAATTTAAATTGAAAAAGAAAATTAGAAGACAAAAAATGAAAAAAATAATATAATTGGAAGTTGGTTTATGCATAGCAAAGATGCAAAACAATGAAAAATCTGGTAAATATCGGAAATTTTTTTTTTTTAATTATAGTGCTACAATAGACAATAGCGAATTTGAAAATAAAGTCATAAAATCTACAGAGTTTGTACAAAAGCAAAAAGCATTTTACCAACAAGAAAATTACAATCGATGTTTTGTGTTCAAAAATGTGAGGGGGTTTGGGGGAAAAAAAATAATTATAGTTGCGTGTGACGATAAATGATTTCGATATCCCTTGTCACACGTCACGTCGATCTTTTTCAAAAATTCATAGGAATTTTTAATTTTCCATCCAATTAGAGAAATTTCAAATCGATTATGCAAAATATGTGTGGATCCTCCATAACGATAAAATGTCATTTGAAAGAAGCTCCTTTTCTTTTTTCTTTTTCCTTCAATTTCGGATTAAACTTCTACAAAAAAAAAAAAAATGCAATATCTTACCATATTTCACGTGAAAAAAATAATTTTTTTTTGTATGCTGAATGTATTTTGATCATTTATTCCTTATATAGAGTTTTTTAGCCGACGAATAAACATTTCCACATCACCACATAACCACAGAACAAAAACAATAAAATCAATATAAATTAATCATTTGAAAAGAATCATAAAAAAAAAAATTTTTTTTTCTCCAAAAAATATATTTAAATTGCTTAAAAAAAAAAAAAAAAAGAGACCTAAAACTCTAGAGCCAAATCCCAAGTAAATAAAGTAATAAGATTACAAAGAAAATGACTGTTCCATCCGACATACAAATCAAGTTCGCTTTACGCCCTCATAGCGAATTTGACAACTGTTGTTACCCCAACAATAGATGTTACAAATTTTTTAGAAATACCGACCAAGAACATGATCAACAATTTACAGAGTTTTATACTCGTTTATACAAAATGCCTTTTGACTCTCACGTACAAGGTTGTACCAAGGAACACACTCTCCCTGATAAAGATAAATTAGATGAAATTATCGACTCGGTAATTTTATCCGAATTTCGAAAGGAAATTGAGGAAAAAGTTTTGTTACATTCGTCTCTTTATGAACTAATCCTTCCTGAATTCAAATGTCATGGATTGGGGTTTTATTACAAGCCCGAATCTGATTATGAAATGTTTAATAAAAATTTAGAAGCTTGTTATTATGAAGCATGTCCTATGTATGTAGAGAATGTTGATTCTACTATCGAAGTTAATTACTTGGAAAGATGGAATAAAGCAAGCGAACAAGAGAAAGAAATCTTTGCATGTATTGCGATGTGTGCAAAAAAAGTTTTTGAATTCATGTATCCTAATTACAAGGAAATAGAGGAAAATATGAAACAAAATAATTCAGAATTTAGTATTTCAATTGAATTTAATCCAAGGAGATCAAAATTATTTAAAGATGATGAAAAAGATAAAAGTCTTTTCGATGATAGAAGGGAAATGAATTTAAGGTCTATTGAGAGGTGCTCAAAATTGTTGGACAATCTAACTGATGAATCCAGTAAAGGAAAAAAGGAATTTCAGGATCGTAATCTTGTAACTTCTGAACAACCACCACAACCTCCTTATCCTCAATTAAGTTTACGTAAGTTTTGTAACTTTGTCACAATTTTATGGGGGGAATAATTCAACGATTTTGTAATGTTTAATATTAATTTATTGTTTTCTTATTTCCTTTTAGATGGATCATGGGAACAAATCGGAAAACGGTTCGTCGTTATGTGTATTCTTTCGCTATCCTTCGTCATTGTTACTTCTTTGGGATATTATTTCTTGAAGTATCGATAAATCTCATACAACATTTTATTTGCTATAGAGTACAATTTCTGTATTTTAATCATACATTGCTTACATTACTTGTATATTTTTAAAAATCTTAAAATGTATTTAGTTTTTTATCTTTACTTTTATTTATAAAGCACGTGTTTCTCAAGATTCATATAAAAAATAAAATATCATCTTTATAGAGTCACTAACCAATAAGATTTCGTGAGTGGAGCTTTTTTTTTGTTAAATTGATGGGAATGGATCTTTCCCATGTGCTTTATCATATGCACTCTATGTACTTCCATTAGAGATTGTTCCTATTATCAACATATTATTATTATATGAATGAACCGAATATTATCTGATTTCTCTTTATTTAGCAGTAACTTTAATTCAGAGAACAATAACAACAATACAAACCATTCATTTTTACGTGCAAATATGTAATCAAAAAAAAAAATAATATATTTTTATGTAGGTCTCATCATTGAAAGCAAACATAAAGAACATACTGATTAACATTACAGATAATCATTTCTTTCATTACCGTTTAAGGATAATTATCCATCAAAAATAATTTGCCAATCTTGCAAAGTATTTCTATAACAAATTTACAAAATGCACCTCATTTATTTAAATGGAAAATATAACGGAACAAGAATTACAACATTGTCTTTGTTGTTATACAATTCAATTACTAAAAAATACAGCCCGAATTTACAATATCTTTTTAACTAAATCAGGATTGGACCAAATTACATTCTTTTCATTGGATAAATAAACATCTTCCCGCAAAAGAAATCGAATATCCATTTTGTTTTGTTCATCATTGTCATCCTAAATTTTCAAAAAAAAAAAAAAAAATTTTTTTTTTTTTAAAACCAAAATTATGTTGAAATAGTTATCATTAAAAAAGTGATTTAGTTTCATTTGCGCGTAAATAATTTTGTTTAAAATTATTCAACCTTGGATTGCTTTGGTTGTAATTCCGGAAATATTGCCTCATGTTGATCGTGTTCATAAATCCCGAAAGATCGCAATGGATTTTGATGCATCATTGTAAGTTCAAGTTCTATGTTATCGATGTCCGTCCCATTTTCCATCTCATTCTCATTTAAGTCTAAAGACACAGTGCTGAACGATCTTACCAATGAATTTTGATGCAACATAGCATGGTCAAGCTCTACATCATCTCCTGGCAATGAGTTTTGATGTATCGTTGTAAGATCAAGTTCAACGTTATTTATGACTGTCTCATCGACCATTGCGTCTATATCGTCTATAACTAAACCGAACGGTCTTTGCAATGAATTTTGATGCATCATTTTAAGATCAAGTTCAACATCATCCGTATCATTCTCATCGTCCATCGCACTAAAGTCAAAAAATGAATCCTCATTTAAACATTCCACATCACTCATCTGTGAATCTGATTCATCATCAAAACTATCATGATTTTCTAATTGCAACATTGGTGTCGCTTCATGATTCTCGAACTGAAATATTGGTGTCGCTTCATGATTCTCGAAATGTAATGTTGGCATCGTTTCCCCCTGAATTTGCATTCGATCATTGATGTCATTAAGATAACCTTCAAGGAATTTGGAATGCTTTTCATCAGTAGGAGTCATCACCCCGGTAAGCTCCTCCCAGTCTATGTAAAATCGACCTGCAAGATCTTCTATATCAACCGTATATTCTTCCTGTGGAAAATTTCTTGGAACATATTTGTACTTTCCAATAGACAGAATCCCTTGCAACCTTTCATCATCCTCACTCATTCCCAAATCCTTAATATTTTCATTTTCATCTTTCCTAAAATATAAGTCACCCGTAAATTGGATACGATCGTTTGCAAGTCTATACATGGTACAAATTCTAAATAATTCCATCTCCCGAAATTTATTCGACGATAATGATGAAGACAAAGATCTGGACTCTTCATCATCTTCATTTTCAACGGTCAATCTGATCAAATCATTTGAACGAATTATTTCGTTTCCGAATATCATTTCATCATAATGCGGGCATTTCTTGGCGTTTCTAAGCCTTTTTTTTTGCACTTTATCTTCGGTTGATGCGATTACTTCATTGCTTACTTTGAATTTATATTCGTTTTGCATTAAGTACGATCTTTGACAAGCAACGCCAATATTGATTGACTCACTAAAAAGTACATCTATGAGTGGGTCAGCACCGGGGCTTGTCATAGCAGCATTTGCATTACGTGCGATCCATGGGATTAATGATGATTCTGGGTAATATTTTATTCTATCCAATGCCAATATTTGTATTTCGTATATTGTCTCACGAATAAGTTTAAAATCCGAAGATCTTTCCCCTCGTTCATGAACGCTCATCACATAACCTGGCCAATTATAAAATTCTTCAATATTCCTTCCACTAGGTGATTCGTCAGGATTATGACTCACCAAAGTTTGATTTGGTCCAACAACCCAAACGATCTCTTTGGGACGATACACTGGACCAAAAAGAATCGATAAGGTTGCACGATCCAAATCTGCACGCAAGATTTTGTCCTTTTCTTTGTCCTTTTCTTTGTTTTTGACCTCTTTAATGACTTTAAAATCCTTGGAAGAGTACTTCGAAACATGTTTGGTGGTGGTAGACTTTATACACAACTTTTGTGTAAACTGATTATTCTTTCTGGTCGATCTATTGCAATATTTACATTCACAAATTCCTGATTTCCCCGAATGTAACCATTTTAAGTGTGGTATAAATTCATTTTTCGATCTGAAACGTCTTCCACTAGGTAATCCTGATCAACATTTTAATTACAAAAGAATTTTCAATTATTTTAATTTTTTTTCTCTTACCGAAAATTTACTGTTAAAAGATAATTAAAAATTTTACCAAATAAGTATATGTCAGTCCGTTCAATTAATCCATTATTTTCAGCAGTATTATGTACTGCGGTCATAGGTAAGGATACACGATTAATTTGTGATGATGCCGGATATTTCGCGTGGAAAAAAAGTTTGTACCCGGAAGGGAATCCTTGTAAGATAAAAGATTCTGGATGAACATGAAAGAAGATAATGATTAGTTCACGAAAAGAATTGTAATGAAAAAAAAATATTTTTTTAAAAATATACCATCTTTGTTTTCTTTTTTGTTTGAAATAGCATCTCCAAGGGTTTCCATCCATTGTCTATAAATTGGACTATCTTCAACGACCTCATAATAGAAAAAGGCGTAGTATCCACTTCTTATACGAAGGTCTGTTTCTGGCCAAGTTGATGGATCACCGTCCGTAGTTGTAACCTGAATTTGTGTGCGTTGAGTTTTACAATCTTCACGAAGCTTTTTTACCATTTTGAAAAAATATCTTTTTTTTAAAAAAATAAAAAATTGAGGATAAATTTATATGATGAAGTTGATCTAACTAATAATAGGATGACACCATATTGATCCTGTATAAATAAAGTATAATTTCACATGAAACAAAAACTCTAAAAAGGATAATCGTAAATAATTGTTTATCAAATATTAGATGTATAATTTTTTAGTTTATTTTTCATAAAATATATAAAAATATTAACAAAGGGTACTTAATCTCAATATCGGCAATAAATATTATGAACTAAACTCCAAAATAATTATTATAATTTAACAATTTCACAAATTACAAATTTACTAAATATAGATACAAAATTTCATCAAAGAAATATTTTGAAGCAAAAAAAAATTCATTATTAAAATAATCTAAAATAAATAATTAATGTATAAACATCACTTCTAATTTCTATTTAGTCCGCCCCCTTGTTGTGTATAATTATTATATCTGGGTGTCCTGTTATCATGTTGATACCTTGAGGGATGAGATCCAGTAGGTATAGGAGTAGGAGTACGCGAACTAGAATTCGACCTTGATGATACTGTAGAATAAGAACGGATCGATGAAGGTGCTCTATATGTATTTTGTCGATTTATCAAGGGTTTGGTAGCTGTATTATCACCTAAAGATGATTGAGATCCACCGTATTCAGAGTTTGAGTCATCATCATTGCCCGATTCAGAGGGTGTATTAATTTGTCTATTACTTAATTCAGCATTATTAAATACAGCTCGCGCAATTAAATTATGATCGTAATCGTGCTTTGGTTGGATTGTCGGCGGTGTTTGTGATCTACTAGGAGGGCCATAAGGATGTTGATATCCTCCAGGTCCAGCCAAACCATAGGATGTTGTACTTGAGTAAGCAGAGGTTCCAGACGTTACTGATGAAACGCTATTACGACGCGTCAAAACTGGAGTCGGTTGTTGTCCATTTGGCGGACCGTAAGGTTTCACTTGTCCATACCCTGGGGTTCCCGGTCTAGATGGAAACCCTGGCATTCCAGGTACCAAGGCAGGCGACCCTACTCTTATGGGATAACCTGGTGTACCAGGTCTTGACGGATAACCCGGAGTACCTGGCCTCGAAATATATGGAGGTGCCGGTGAGCCTGGTCTCGAAATATACGGCGGTGGAATTCCCAAATGTGTATTTAATGGTTTCTTGGGGTTATCGTCTTCAAAGATGGGGAGTGTAGGTTCTTTATATAGTAGAATTGCATCGCCACTTTTCTTCATATGATTGTAATCACCTTTAGCTTTTGCTTCTGCTTGCTGTTTATATTGCATTACACGTTTTTTAGATTTCATTTTAAGTAAAAATGCAATTCTATAAAATTGATAAACATATTTCAATAAAATGTCGTGTAAAAAAAAGGAAAAAAAACAAGAATCCTGATCTCTAACAAATTAATTTTTTTTTTTTTTTTACCTCTTATCGACTTTATGACAACAATATTCTTTAAGATTTCCTCTAATATGACACAAAAGTGGAATATACATGATGAATGCTAAGATCAGTAAGGAAAATGAAAAAATAAAAACGATAAGTGTAAAGGCCATCAAGGCCATAGCTAGTCGTTGAACAATGGTATCTCCATAAGCTGAAATATTCCAATATCTTCGTGTCTTGTTGGATTGAATAATTGAATAAAGTGTCATAGCATTAATGGCTTGACGTGGCAACTCGGCAAGTATCAGGCGTTTCCATCCTAATAATCAACGGAGAAATTAGAAAATTATCAAATGAATCTCTTTTTTTTTTTACTTTACTTTTTTTTTTTTTAAAAAAAAAAAATTACCTTTAGATGTAAAATATATAAAAAAGGCTACGGAGTCAGTTATAGTCGTTGACTCTTGAATTTGACAAAAGAAACAATAATGTGAATAACTTTTTAATGTATAGAATCTTGTTGCAACAAGACTTGTAAATGTATAAGAAATATCCCTTGAAGCTACAATAGGTCTAGCTTTCTTTATATCCCAAGCTAAAATTATAAATGACATTAAAATAGCAATAACATAGATCCATTTTGAAACAAAAAACGGAATTTTCGGTTTTACAGTTGATCCCCATCTATCAAATATCAATAGAATTCCAGCTGTCCATAAATCTGCAACGTATACAAGTATTGTCTTTAGGACCACAAGAAAAACTAAACTATATTTCAATTTTCTTGTAAATGAGTTCTCATAAAAATCGTCTATATCTACAAAATCAAATTTATGATCTTGGACTTCTTTTCGCTCGCTTCGCCATTTCGAGGGCTTACAACAACACATTTTTAAAATATTGTTGTAATTTCAATTTCAGGTTGATAGGATCTGTTCCAATGATAGCAATTGATATAATCGTTTATCGTTCTTTTTGTTCTTTTTATTATTATTATTATTCAATAGCTCAATATAATTCGACCAAAAACCAACACATAACAAGCGAGTTTGTGGTTTTCGAGCTAACTTAAGAACTATATATAAATATATCTTTTATTTTATTAAGATGTATATATCAGATTTTTTTTTTTATTTACAAAAAAATAAATAAAATAAAATAAAAAAGAATAAATAATCTGGGAACAAAAATCAAACGAATTTTAAATTTTTTTTTTTTTTTGCAATTTCTGCAAAGGAATAATTGGAAGAAAATAAAAGAATGTTAAGGGTATTGAGGAAAAGAGAGAAATAAGGGAAAGAGAAGGATATGGATATGTTAGAGAAAGGGTATGTTGAAGAAAGTGAGAAAGGAATGATGAAATAATGAATAGTGGACAAGGTGTTAAAAAGTAATATAAAAAGATTGACCCGACTTTAACGTGCAAAATTTTCCTCTTTTGGACCAATTTTTGATGTGTGGCGAAAATTACTGGTTCAAATCATGCGTGCGTTTTTATTAGTAACACTCGAATAATTAAAATTGCCATATATTTTACAACTATATTATGCATAATAAAATTCATGTGACTTTCAATTTTGGTGAGGCGTATCTTTGAATTCATTCATCAAACATTCAAATCATACTAGTAATACTTTTGAATGTGTCTCAGAGTATTTATTACCTTCTTTTTGATTTAGTCACTTCTAAGTGCTTTGATAATTATTGATACTTTGTTCTTGTAATCACGTGATCAACGATTGTGTTTCGATTCTAAATTTGTGATCCATTAAACGTTTCAGATAAATCCGGAACCTTATACTTTAGCATAGACCCGTTTATCATATTGATACACCACCTATGTTTATGTTTGGTTGGTTTTACGCCACATAAATGTTTCTTTCGCGACATTTCGTGTTCCTCATAAATTTTTATCTTGGTAAAAGTTAAATTTTGGAATGGTTCACTGTACAACTTACGGTCTAGAACGAATCAAATGAAATAAACATGACATCTAAGAAATTATCTTTATTTCAAGGTTCTGGATATTATCATTCAACTTGTGCATTGCATACTGCGAAGATAATGAAACAATGACAATAATAATTAAATAAAATTGCGTTGTGATATTTGTGTATAAGCATTATTTTTTTTTTGTCATTTTTTATTCTTTTAAAATTTATTAATTATTTATATTTATAAATTAAAAAAATTTAATAATAAAATATAAATTTTTATAAATTAATATTTAATTTATCATTTTTATTTTTATTTTAAAATCTTACAAAATATGATAGATAAATATGATTTGTTAGATTTATTTTAAAATATTCAAGATATTTTTACATTCTAAATTATAAAATTACTTCTTAATTTTGTATCTTATTTATTTATTTTATAATAACGATAAATGAATACTAAATATTATATAGTTAGATTTATTTTAATAAATATTTTTTGTTTATATAATTTAGTTAAAATTTTTATGCCAAGTTTTATATTAAAACTTATAAAAATAATTATACCAATTTATCCAATTTATAAAGTTGATAATAAATAAACTAAATTAAATTATAACTATAAATTAATATTTATATAAAATTATTAATTAAAATAAACTTTATATAAGGTATTTAATATTTAAATAAATAAATATTATAAAACAAAAGTATAATTATTTAATTATTATTATATAAACTAATAAAACTAAAATAACAAAAATAATTATATATTAAAAGTTTGAAATTAAAATATTTTTAGATAAATAGATGAAATAGATGAAATAGATTTTAATTTATTATAGTATTTGTAAATATAAACTATTTTTTATTATTATTTTAAATTGGAATTTGCTATTTATCATCAGGTTTAATAATAAACTGTACTGTATGATTAGTTACAGCTAATTCATAATTCGTGAACCACTAATAAATTGTGACTGAATATGACTAAAAATTTTTTATAATAAAATTACTATAAAATATTGCGACTAAATATGACTGAAAAATTATTAATAGTCCATAAATTATGAAATTAGCTGTAAATTGTATTATATAACTAATATATTAAAAATTCGTACAATATAGTAAAATAACATCAATTACATGACTATTAATAGCATATTAATCTGAAGTAAAATTAAACATTTAATCATAAACATAACTTAAAATTTTATTAGTTACTCTTTACAATATACAACAACAGCTTTTTTTATTATTTTTAATACATATATAATATATATTGAAATTTAAAATATTATATTATAATTCCAGAAATCTATAAACCTAATATTTGATTTTACCTTTCAATTAATCTAATTTTCCTTTTAAGCTCATCATTCTTTTGCTTTAAATTATTAGCATTTCTTATGTCAAATTATTCTTTATTTTTTATACTTCAAAACACAAATTTTCATCAAATTTAATATTAACAATATTTTCCTTATTTTTCAGACTGTTCTTTATCTTTTAATAAGAACTATTTATTCTTTTGTTTATTCTTTTACCTTTTTTCTAATAATTAAAAAATATAATTAATAAAATAAATAATAAAATTAAATACTAACTGTAATAATAATGATAAATAAAATTATATGCTCATTTTTAGCTTGAATTAATTGATTTAACTTTGATATATTTTGATAAGATCTAAAATATAATATTGTTTATAAATATATATATTTTTATTATGTATTTTGTCAAAATCATATCCTCTTAAAAAAAAATTTAAAATAAAAAATTTAAATTAAGTTTAATAATAAAATACCATATATAAAAATACTTATTTAATAATTTTAGCAAACAGAAAGATTATATCTATTATGATTTATATTAGCATATACACTTTTTTAATGTTCATATTATTAGGCATTTGATTTTAAATAAGATGATTCATTTTAGTAAATACCTTAGATATTTCTGATAAAATCTATAGAATTAGTTTATCATTTATATAAACTATAAAATAAATAAAATTTAATATTATTTTAAATTTTAAAAAATTACAATTATGATAAAATACAATAATATTATTTTAATAATTACTAAGAATGTTAAATAGTTTCAAATAAAGATGGGAACTGTAATTAATATGTTGCAACTTTTAATGTTGCAACTTACGTTGCAATTAGTTTTAACCTATATATGTTGCAACTTAAAAATTATGAGTTATAAAAAAGTCTAATTGCTTATCTTTAATAAGTAAATAACTCTTGATAAAAAATTGTTATAATAAATTTTATGAATAATTTTTAAAAGAAATATAAACTTTGAAATCAACTATTTTCATAAGACTATTAAGGTGAAATCTTCTGAAATAATTTGAGCTATAGCAGCCTTAACTCAACACATTGCTGATCTAAAAAAAAGAATTATAAGACTTATATTTAATAATTCTGTTAGATAGATTAACTTTCCCAGAAATAATCCTATTACCTATTACACTGGAGGCAAGAAAGACATATTAGTTAGCGATATCCTAAAAATAATAATAAAAATATTAAAGTTAAACTAATCGTAAAGTTTACCACCATAGATTCTGAATTACTACAACAATTATTGAAGCAAGTCACAGCTGAACAACCTATAATTAAGCCTTTAAACTAAAAGGTGTATCTTATGAGAATAAAGATGCAAAATCTGGCTTAAATCTTTCTTTCTACACATTATTTCAAACTTATCCTACACAATAAAGTCGTATTGTTACTAAAAGCATCTTATATATATGATCATCTGATGCTAATATTCCTGCAAATAATAATTTGACTTTAATAATGGATTTTAATAACCATATAACAAGTGATGTTCCTGCAGGAATGATTCAATTAGAGGAATCCAGTCATAGTAATAAAGTTATACCTATTCAAATCTGTAAAGATACTATGATAATAATAATATTACAAACTAGAATAAAGCCTGTTACCAAGCGACAAAATGTTTTCTGAATACTGCCTTTTATTTCTACTCACATATAACCTTATAATATCGTTGCTAATTTACAACATCTAAAAGTAAACATTTTAGTTGCTCAACTAGTACAATTATCACAAAAGTTAGAAGCAAACTTTCTCAAAGTTTAAGAAAACCAATCCTCTGAAATGCTAAGTTTATAAATACAGAATTATTGAAAACTATAAATACAATGAATACTACAGCTTTATATTATGATGCTTTCTGCTAAAGGAGTTAAAATCCCATTAATTATCAATACAAGTGCTGCTGGTAGTATAGTCTCTCATTAATTTCTTAAAGATTTGAAAATGCATATTGCTTGACTTATCAATACCATAATGATCAATGTTAATGAAGAACATAAGAGACTTCTGGGAGAAGTCATTAACTTTTCCATCAATATTCAAGAAGTAACTATTTCTATTAATATAGTTGTAACTAAAGCTTCATCATATGTTACTATAGTAGGAAATAACTGGCTCAGTAAAGTCAAATCTAACATTGACTATTTTAATAATATAATGGTGATTTGATAGGACAAGAAAATTATTAATATTCTTATTGAATACAATATACTTTCAGAAAAACATTGAGAATTACAAGATTAAGATCCTCCTAATAATGATGATAATAACGATGAATCCAATGAGAAAAAAAATATGAGAATGATAAGGTGGATGAATAAACTTATTACTATTTTCAATTTGAGATCATAACTGATCTTGTTCTGAACAAATTCTTCTTAATTATAAATTGTTAATTTGATCCTGTGATAATTAAAAGTATATATCCTATAAAGAAATTCATATTAATTAATGAAGGTGTTTATCTAGAACAGAATTTTTACTTTTAGAATTACTTCCAATATTTCAATAAACAGTTTCAGGTTTTATAACCCAAGAAAGCTAAATAGACCTTTGATTTTAAAGGACCTTCTGCTAGATGCTGATATCTTAACACTTTATATTCACCTTCAGATGAATGCATTCAATGTTTATGGGATTTACGTAAATATCTTACTATCCAAAATTTACTAGCTATAATTATTTGTATCTTGAGTCAGAAATTTTTACACTACTATTCTCATTAAATGAAGAATGCTAATAATGAGATCTATCTACTGAACCTTATCATCAAAAGGAATTAGTCAAAGTATATAATGAAGAAAAGTGATAGAATTGTTTTTATTGTAGATGCATAAGTCATATTGAATAAAATCAAACAAATGAGAAATCAGAAATTGAACACTATCATCAAAAAATAGTTTTTTTTACTACTAAAGTTGAACCAAAATCTTTATAAGTTAAATTCATAACTCTGGAATAACAATAATAATTCAATTTGCTCCTAGAAGATTTTAAGGATTTATTTACTTCAGATATCATCCAATTTAGTAGAAAAACTTTAGTTCGATATTGAATAAATACTGGTGAAAACTCACTTATAAAAAAAGATGATATAGAGTTAATACTATTATACAAGATATAATTAAGGATGAGATTACTTGAATACTTGAATATTATCAAAAGGTTCACAGGACCTTGAGTATCACCAGTGATAAAGATAAGAAAACTGGATGGTTTTTGAAGTTTTGTGTAGATTATTGAGGAATTAATACCATTATAATAAGGATATTTATCTTCTTCTTTGAATTGACGATATCCTGAATTCTTTAAACAGAGTTTATTAATTTACTTCTCTAGATCTTTTTAGTAGATATTAGCAAATAGATATGGATTCTAAGAATTACGAAAAGACTGCTTACGTAACTAAATATAATATTTACCAATTTAAAGTAATGCTATTTAGACTTTGCAATACCTTGCTACTTTTTAACAATTAATAGATCATATCTTTAATAATATTTTGTGAAAATTTGTAGCTATCTACTTGAATAATCTTAATATCTTCTCTCAAACCTTTGAGGAATATTTGCAATACCTTCGAGTAGTGTATACCAAACTTCATATGACTAGTCTTAGACTGAAATCCAGAAAATGCTTTTTTTTATATAGAAATTATGTTTTCTAAAATATAAGATTTCTAAAGAAGAAATTTTAACAGATCTTATAAAGATAGAGAAAGTCAAACATTTTCTAAGACCATAGAATGTGACTCAGATTTGACAATTCTTGGGTTTTGCTTTATACTACAGACAATTCATTCAAATTTTTTCAAAGATTGCTATATCTCTAAATTTATTATTAAAGAGAAGGATCAAATATTCCAATAGATTAGTCAACAATAAAAGATATTTAAATATTTAAAAATTGCCTCATTTCAGCACCTATTCTTGTATTCAGATTTTAAAAAGGAATTCATCCTATATACTTATGCATCTACCTTTGTGTTAGAATCTATATTAGCATAATTAGACGATGATAAAAAGGAACATGCGATTTCTTATGCTAGCTGTTTCTTAACTTCTTCTGAGAAGAATTATTCAGCAACTAAACTTGAATGTTTGACAATTGTTTGGGCTGTATAATACTATTCATATTATCTTTATAAAAAAAGTTTATATTAATTACTGATCATGCTACATTTTGTCATTTATTCAATATATTAACTCTTACTAGAAGATTGGTCTGATGGTCATAAAGCTGCAACCTTATGATTTTTGAGTTTTACATTGTATTGGAAAGAAGTATGCAAATGTAGATACTCTATCACATATTGCATATTAAATTAAAGAATAAGTAAAATAATTTCATCATTAATAACCCTATAAGAAATCGAAATAAGGAAATGATACGTTTTTTATAAGGTTTGTATATGTAATTAATGATTCTATATCAAA